CGAAATATTGATTTCTTAAAGAATCAGTCATTCTAACTCTTCTAATATATTTATCGCGGTTAACAAAATATTCTATATAACATGATAACGATTTTCATTTCCAAAGTAAGATACAGTAATATAGACAATGTAAAACTTACTAGGATATGAAGATATTTTTAATCAAACTACGATAAAATAACAGAAATAATGACCGTGATTTATGTTCTAAAAATACAGTTACGTAAAGTATCCCCTAAAGAAGGGTGTTTTGGAAAAGGATACCAACACCAGGGCCTTGATTGCTTCTTCTTTTTGCGTCCCATTCTGTCTTTACGGCTTTCAACAATTTCAGATCAGCAAAAATATGCCAATTAATAACGTTTTACATCTACGTAATATGAATTGAAGTGGCAACTAGCTGCACCACACACACACACATAAAAACCGATAATGCAAAATGGCGACTGCATCTTTTCCGTATTTGACGGAAGAAGCTATAGCCAATAGTATTACGTGAAAGTTTCCAAATTTGAATAGGGAAATTCAAACAGTGCTACCACTAGCGATTAGAGAGCACTCTTATCGTGAAAGAGTTAAACCAAGAAGTTCCTGTGATCCGATGCAGATACACATCTATAATCTACATGTTTTATTGCACCATATACTTAGACTATATGTTATCAAGTTACATAAATCATAGACTTTTGGATGCTGTGAATTACATGCATACATATGTTTTGGTTTCTATCAACAATTCAGAACTTGTAACATCGAATGAAATGCCTTAACATTGAGACTCAATATAGAATCCCTTTATTTTAACTAATCTCCTTAGCTATTTCAATGAGAATGGACTACATATGTACATACATAGTAGGTACATATCTTACATATTTCGATCGTGATGAACATTTCTAAATGGACTACGCTCTCAAGTGATTTTATGTTGTAAACGCAGTAAAAATAGAACAATGAAAAATCGATATTGTGTTGTACTTTGGTAAATGAACATACAACGTACGTTTTAGTCCTTCAATCTTCAATGAAGATATTCCCGTTTCCATTTACATTTCAGTCCTTGAGTCGACACCAGATGTCGCAATTTTCTCATAATTTCCTCAACTTCCACGCATGTCTTTCGGTGCAAGAATTTGCATCCCAGCCGTTGCAGACAGCTGATCCGATGATATCCTGACGTGCTGCGCTACATATTGTTGATTGTGTAAAAGTGTCTAATTGTGAGAAAAACATTTTGAGCCTAACGAAGTCTTCTTCGCGTCTACCCTTGAAAATTTGATGTTGCTTGCCGCATGGTAGAACGCCCACAAACAATGCGTGAATGAAATTGTTCGTCAACGTTAAATGGATGCGAAACGTATTGGGAAACACAGAAACAGAAATCTTGTAATTCATTCGTGTCGCTTCGAATCTCGTTTATTAGACTACAATAAGCGGTTATGGTATATTTGTCAGGTGTTTGGGGCATGGGAGAGACTAAATCACAGTGCCATAACACAACAAACAGTTCTTCCTCCTTTCTTCAGGAGAATGACGAAGAAGTCGCGCTGTTACCACTCTCGAATCAGGTGAGTCGTGTCCGCGTTTCCTGCGCCATTGTCTCAACAAAATTCTGCCCCAGATTTTCATCATCATTTTACAGTTACAGTATTTAATGTTTACTTATCGTGATCGAGACTGTTGTAGTCATCATTCGATCGAATTGCAATTTGCAGTGATGCGAATATGTACGTGAGCGTTTAAATATACCTCGTGACGAAGTTTTTACTGTTATTGTATTTCCAAGAAAGGAGGATATGCATGTCATAAAAGTGAAATTTATAGATGCGTTTTCTTTTCAGGAATGAATATACACGTACATAATTATACTTTTTACTTTTTTCTTTTAATTCGTTGTTATACATAATTATTAACGTGCTATAAAAAAACACAGATTATTTTGCAATATTTATTCATTTTGTAAAATTCTTATTCTTTTTTTTTATAGGTCGGTGGACATACAAGATTGCTCTTACTTAACCAGAATACTATTTGCAAGCCACTGAACTATAGAGAACTTGATTTTTATCAAAACATTCCACAAGACATACAAATCTTTGCCCCAAAATTTAAAGGTAAGTCTATTTATAACTATTGCCCGTGCATTTTTTTACTGCTTTTTAATTCTTTCCTTTATTGCTTGTATTTCAAGTTAAAAATTTTCAGGAATTATACAACATTTATCGACTTATATTATTTTTGTTTTATATTTCATATGTGTTATTTCACAGATGTATTAGATTATTCAATGTATTAAGTTAGTTAACAAACCTTTCTTTGTTCTAAGTTTATTTTTTAGTACGCTACACAAATATGTGTTATAAATATTTGACACTTAATTAAACTTCTAATACATAATAATTAAACTTTTTAACATAATGAAACTTGCCTTTAAATCACTTTATCCCTTAAGGGGTCTATTAAAATCATAGCTCTATACAATAATTGTAAATTAATATTTAGTTAATGGTTAACTTTGGAATTAATATTAATCAAAGTGATGCAAATTTTATATTTTGGGACTACCGTTTGTCTAGGTGTTATGCAAGCTTCCAATAGTGAAGAAGTTAAATTAGAGAAACGATACAGTCCCAGCTTTAGGGAACAAGACAGTAGACAAGGACATAATTCAACTAAGAGGAAGAGAGACGATGTCCTCAGGTATAATGTTGCGAATTATTGTCGAAATATATCCAAACATATGGAATATTTTACTCTGTGTAGAATCTAAATAATTCTTTATATCACAGCACAAGTACTTGACCACCGGGTCTTCTTTTATTCTCCTTTTAGAATGAAAATTCATCGAGATAACACTTTAACGGGAATACCAAGACCAGGAATGCATTTGGATAATACATCTAACAGACAGTGTATGTGTTATATTCGATACAAATAACAAATTATAGAAATACAGATTATATAATTCTTTTATACGAAAATACAGATTTTCTTTTATTGGAGAACATAACTTCACGGTATACGCATCCATGTATATTGGATTTGAAAATGGGTATCAGACAGCACGGCGATGATGCATCCGCAGAAAAACGCAGCCACCAGATTGCAAAATGTGCTGCCAGCACATCAGCCTCGTTAGGCGTTCGACTGTGTGGAATGCAGGTTTGTTAGTACACTATTCTTTAGTGTTCATAAAATACAAGAAACAATTGTGTTTATACAATAAAAACAAAAATGATGTTAGGCGTACCAAGCTGATGCCAATCAATATATCAAGCGAGATAAATATTGGGGCAGGGAACTGAACGAAGAAGGTTTCAAGGCAGCATTGTATAGCTTTTTCCATAACGGTTACCGTTTGAGAACGGTAGTCGTTGAAAAAGTCGTATCCCAGTTGGATCAGTTACGACGCGCGATCGAAAGACAAAGCAGTTATCGCTTCTATTCATGGTAACTATGTTTAAATATAAGTTATTATTAGAACAGTTAGCGCTGCAACTAATTGCTCTAAATGTTTTGTTAGCTCCTTGTTAGTTGTATACGAAGGATATCAAATAAATGATTTTTCGAATCATTCATCGTCTACATTACAAACAGAAGAAGAGTCAACCAACTCTAGTTTCGTTGATGACGTTGCTCATAGCTCAGAAACATGCTATGACGCAGACACAAGTAACAGTTCCACAGACTACAATCTTTCCATTCAGGAGGAAATTAGTCAAGCAACATTACACAAAGGATTTGGCGAAGCAGCCGCAAGAGGGGCCAAGAATACCGCTATTTTCTATCCCGCAAGGTTTGTGATCAGCTATTTTTATTTTGTTTACTGATCGATTGTAGACTTCGTGGATAATTTTCTATAGATAAAGAAAAAACCAAACAATTGGTCGTTCTGTTTCGATTCGACGCATTCGACACGAGATAAAAATCATTGACTGAAAACTATCGGAAATATTATGCTTATCGTGAAACTGTACATGTAACAACTTCATCATAATCAATAATCTCTCTTCTTCTGCCCTTAAAAGTTTCTCTTCTTTAACAATCATCATCAAGTCGAAAGTACAATTCATTTCGTTGTTTATATTACTTTTCAAACATTGTCGTTGTCATTGACTCGGCACAGGACGACCCAAATTAAATTCCTATCGTTGTGATGCTGCTATATCGATCTCGCATAAACTAACGTGCGGATAAATTTTTACTCTCCTTTTTATGAAATCGTTCAGCCCTCTTTCTGTTACTCTATTCTGTCGTTCGTTCGCTCTTTCATCTGCTGATTTACTTGTGCCCCAAATCTAATGTATTACAACACTAGGAATCTAATTTTTTTTTCTATTATTCGACAATTTACGATTACATGCATTCGTGTACGTTTGTTAACGTTTATTAAGATTTCAAATTTATGCGTTCAACCCTCCGATATTTTGTACGAAGACGAGAACAATCACTGATGAAACATGAATTTAGCAAGCATCAGTTTAATTTGTCGATTGTTATCTTTTGCCTTAGTTTTTAATGTGCGCCAGTGTTTTCTTTTTAAGCAGTGTTTGTGTTCGATTTTGATTAAAGTTTGCAGTTCGAAATTTAACAGAACGATATACCCGAAATCTGTATAGATTGCATCTTTAAATAATGCAGTAGAGTATCCTTCAGAATATCGGAGGGTTGATTACGAAATGTGAAAAAAAAAGTACAGTTGTTACAATGATTCTAGTACAATTACCGGCTTATTTCAAACGCTTTTTGTTAACAAATCGGTTTAGAGGAAATATCGCACCCTCAGTAATTTAGCGTACTAACGTGGACAGAAATCTTTATCAGCCTCGATGAATTTGTAAGATATTTTTTTACATATATTTGTAACAGGTTTCAGCTGTTCGCTGCTACAAATTAGTGTGGCAACGTGTACTTTCTGCCTAGTAGCGGAACATTTACATGTAATTAGGTAATCAGACATTAAATAAGAAACCATTTGAGAAATTTTGATCGTTAGATCACGAATCGTGTTACGATTCGCACACACATAGTTCAAAGTATTTCACCAGCGAAAACCGAAGTGCGTTGAACTCGAACGGTTTCTTATTCGTTTTATAACTGCGGCTGCATGTAAACCACTACGTATATCTTTCTCTATCGTCTAAACAGATGTTTATACATAGATGCTAATAGATGGTAATCGAGACGTTTCGTATCTGCGCGGAAAGAAAAGAGAGACACACACGTATGATTATTTGTAAACATTACCATTAAATTTGTAAGTTCATACGTAATGTATTTAAGTTAATACACTAATGAATTGACAGTGCGATGTTTTCCTAGTTTAAGCATGTATATTTCTGTGTACCGTCACTTTTTAGAAAACTGCTCTTTATTACGGCCGAACTATAATAAAGCGCGGCAATACCAGTCCCTAATCGAGCCCGATCAGTTTCTTGCTAGGGGAGGATCAGAGCTGAAAGTGGTGGATTTCAAAATCCTTTCGTAGGTATACTGTTGCTCATGCGTAGAGTACAGCTCTACAAAAAAGTTACTGGGTGCAAACGTTTTATGAATTAAGGAGAGAGAAAGAGCTTAATGGGACATTGAAATTGTTTTGGGGCGGTCGAGTCACGGACACGAACATAAACATTCGACAAGAACGCGAATACCAAACTCAAATACACGTATACTATTGCACAGTTATGAATGACTGGTTGATTTTCTTCATAAATTGAGAACAATTAGCTTTTTTTTTAAATACAGTACAGTTTACTTTTACATTACACAACGAACCAAACAAAAATATATACAAGACGTTCAGTAAGTGGTGGATTTCTTATGGAAGAGAAGGAGTGAATGTGTGAAAGAGAGAAAGAGAGAGAGAGAGAGAAAGCAAGAATGTTAGAACACAGTTGTTCCGTTAAATGTCTTCTTTCTGCTTAATGCACAGCACACGTATCGTCTCGTGAGAATAGTAAAAAACGAAATGATTTTCGTAACCCCTTATGAAAGACACTAATAATAATAATAATAATAATAATAATAATAATAATAATAATGTCTTTCCTAAGATTGGGAAACGTTGTTGTTTTGAAATGAATTTTGCATCGAATCTATACATTGAAATTACGAGTTAAGACTTCTTAGTTGAAATAAGGGAAAGTAAATGGAAACGCAGATAAGGCATGTGTACCGCATCAATTTATTATTGTTAACGAAAAATAAAGCATTCTGTGATGATGATTTCACGTGCTCGTTCGAGTGATTTTCACGCAACGATGTACAACTGTAAAATAAGAAACCTTATTTGCAGAAACCCATCATTTACTTTGCATCCTGTATAGAGAGATATATATATATATAAAACGTTTTCTTTTATTCGAAAATATATGTGACCTGCAGGGCCTGCATGCCCGGGCTACGGTTTGGGCAGTTAAAGGGTTGTTAGTAGATGGTAAGAGGTCATACATTGTACCATGTGGCATCTTAACGACGGAGGTGCGTAAACATTTCGGCGCATTTATTTATTCGCATTAAAAATCGTTTCGCTTAAGATGGAATTGCTTTGGTTAGCTGAAAATTATTTTGATATCGGCTATCAGCAAAACGTAAACATAGAAGAACCTCCTCGAAAGTGGTTCGAGGATAATCGAATCTAACGGGAACACAAGAAAAATATGATCTTTTTACGCATCCCCGTGAATATACTTTAAACATTCTAATTGCATCTTATTCAATTACATCGCAAGTAAGTAAACAGAGAAACGTCGTTAATAATGATGACTTTTATGTCATGAACTCATAATCATAGCAGCGAGGAGACTGTTTTCGACGAATCTAGCGACAGCTTGATCGACACAGTGCTTCAAACTCCCAGATACGAACAGTGGATGATTTATGGCAGTTCGAACGACGAATTTTGTTTCGAGCAAAGCTCGGATATCGCGGAAGGCACTAGTTCCGACATGGAAGTTAGATCGGATAGCGGACCGAAAAGACAAAGACACGGAAATCGGCTGCTTCGTCTTTACGAGAAGGAGGAGAGAACGGAGGAAGAGGTCGAGTGCGACAGTATATCAAACAGGTCAGGGACAGCATATGCATTAAACACTCTCGAGCTTTCTATGCTTTGTGTACCGCCTTACGCTTCGAAAAGAAAGATCCGAATAATATTATATTATTTATTTTATTAACATTATATTATAATTATATTATATTATTATAAATTATAACAATCATTTTATTCGTAGGTACGCATCTTGTAATTATCGGACTAAGAATAAACAAAAATCTCAAGAAGCGCTCGTCGACGTGAGAATGATCGACTTTGCTCATACAACTTTTGTTCACGGCTCGGCGACCGTGGCTTGCAATTCGAATTCAACAGTGCATCAAGGTCCGGACTGCAATTTCTTAACCGGTCTCGATAGTTTAAAACGTCTCCTTCTTGAAATTTTGACCGAGGGCTGAAGAGAAAAGTCAGAGGCGCACGCCCCCACCCCCTCTATGTACACGTATTTAAATGACGGGACACGTTGAATATTTTCTTNTTTTCGTAACCCCTTATGAAAGACACTAATAATAATAATAATAATAATAATAATAATAATAATAATAATGTCTTTCCTAAGATTGGGAAACGTTGTTGTTTTGAAATGAATTTTGCATCGAATCTATACATTGAAATTACGAGTTAAGACTTCTTAGTTGAAATAAGGGAAAGTAAATGGAAACGCAGATAAGGCATGTGTACCGCATCAATTTATTATTGTTAACGAAAAATAAAGCATTCTGTGATGATGATTTCACGTGCTCGTTCGAGTGATTTTCACGCAACGATGTACAACTGTAAAATAAGAAACCTTATTTGCAGAAACCCATCATTTACTTTGCATCCTGTATAGAGAGATATATATATATATAAAACGTTTTCTTTTATTCGAAAATATATGTGACCTGCAGGGCCTGCATGCCCGGGCTACGGTTTGGGCAGTTAAAGGGTTGTTAGTAGATGGTAAGAGGTCATACATTGTACCATGTGGCATCTTAACGACGGAGGTGCGTAAACATTTCGGCGCATTTATTTATTCGCATTAAAAATCGTTTCGCTTAAGATGGAATTGCTTTGGTTAGCTGAAAATTATTTTGATATCGGCTATCAGCAAAACGTAAACATAGAAGAACCTCCTCGAAAGTGGTTCGAGGATAATCGAATCTAACGGGAACACAAGAAAAATATGATCTTTTTACGCATCCCCGTGAATATACTTTAAACATTCTAATTGCATCTTATTCAATTACATCGCAAGTAAGTAAACAGAGAAACGTCGTTAATAATGATGACTTTTATGTCATGAACTCATAATCATAGCAGCGAGGAGACTGTTTTCGACGAATCTAGCGACAGCTTGATCGACACAGTGCTTCAAACTCCCAGATACGAACAGTGGATGATTTATGGCAGTTCGAACGACGAATTTTGTTTCGAGCAAAGCTCGGATATCGCGGAAGGCACTAGTTCCGACATGGAAGTTAGATCGGATAGCGGACCGAAAAGACAAAGACACGGAAATCGGCTGCTTCGTCTTTACGAGAAGGAGGAGAGAACGGAGGAAGAGGTCGAGTGCGACAGTATATCAAACAGGTCAGGGACAGCATATGCATTAAACACTCTCGAGCTTTCTATGCTTTGTGTACCGCCTTACGCTTCGAAAAGAAAGATCCGAATAATATTATATTATTTATTTTATTAACATTATATTATAATTATATTATATTATTATAAATTATAACAATCATTTTATTCGTAGGTACGCATCTTGTAATTATCGGACTAAGAATAAACAAAAATCTCAAGAAGCGCTCGTCGACGTGAGAATGATCGACTTTGCTCATACAACTTTTGTTCACGGCTCGGCGACCGTGGCTTGCAATTCGAATTCAACAGTGCATCAAGGTCCGGACTGCAATTTCTTAACCGGTCTCGATAGTTTAAAACGTCTCCTTCTTGAAATTTTGACCGAGGGCTGAAGAGAAAAGTCAGAGGCGCACGCCCCCACCCCCTCTATGTACACGTATTTAAATGACGGGACACGTTGAATATTTTCTTGATAATAGAGCAACAGACAAAAGTAAAAAACAAACCGCCACCAATCGTATCGACAAGTGGGTCAAGTGTTTCGTTCGTGCGAAGGACACTAACAACGAAATTCTGATCCCGAAATGCAATTGGTTCTCGTGAAACCGATCTGTATATATTTTCACTGTAGAATTTTATGTTGCGACCGTATTATAAGTATGCGAGAGATGTATATGTATAGAAAACCGTATTATCATGACGTGTACATTTCGTGCATGAATCGTGTCTTCAAGAGTATTGTATGAGATTCCTAATACAAAAAAGGAAAATATAGAACGAATCTTAAATAAATCTCTGCTTTTTCTATTTCACCTGGAACAAGAACTAGAAGCCCATTGTAATCGAAGAATCGCATTTTATAATATAGTTATGTTAAGTTCAAAAATTAAGCCCGGATCTAGAACTTAGATATTATTAGAAATCGGTGATCGATGTTGGGGAAATTCCTTCCACTGACTCCAACGGATCCAGATCGCTGCGGTCGAGAAATATTGATAAATCATTCATTTTTATCTATTTAATGTTTATTATTTTGTTATTTTCTAAGTCTTTTCTGCAATGTTAAGTCAAAATAACATCTAGAACTCGAAATACCGAGTAACTTTTACAAGATTAACGTTTTAGTTGAACTTCTACCGATTGACTGACGATGACAATTCACCGATGAGGCCTGGAACAGTGTTAGCGTCACTGTGTTACCCTCGCAATCAAAGACAAAGAGAGAAAACGGGGCGAGTGAGCAAGAGAAAATGATATGACATCGACGCAACTACGCATGCGAAACAAGTTACACCGACAAACGATGTCTCACTTGTCTCACTCTGCTCGTTGGTTCTGTCTCTTCCGGTCATCTATCGTTCTCTTTCTAAAAAAACCTGCGCGGAATTGGATGCATAACCAGTATAAAATGGTGGGGATAAAAATGCTTGCTTGGATAAGCAAAAACCGTGCATTTTAGACACTACATTTACATACTGAATTTCTATCTGATCTATGGTGACATAAAACCATTTACATACAGTGATTGGTCTAATTCAATATATACAGCACCTTGTCGCTGTGTTTAGACACTTTTAACAGAGTCGGTATTCCAGAACCACAGACTAAAAGTTACGATGCCCGAGACATCTGTATAGATTATAAGCCTGTGCTTTCACGCTATCAGTTATGTTTGTGTAATGCATAACGTATGTGATATGAAGTAAACAAGAACGTGGCGATTGACATTTAATTTCTTCAGCTCGTACCGAAATATCTGTTAAAAAAATATAATTAAAGATTCTGTAAGATTCGCAGTCGATACTTCAACAAATTGCCAGTAGTCTCATTCCAATTCATTTAGAGTAACTTCTACAATGACTTTGTAAGACCTTACCTGAGGTTATGCAAAACTGTCACAACATTTGTATTTCTGATATTACCAACGATTCACACTTGAAGTATCTGATCGAAGTACATAATGGACCGACTTAGTGACTTCATATTAGTGCCGAAACTCAATAATGTTGTACTAGTAGATAAGACTGATGGAAGTAATAAATCTATGGATGGACAATTATCTGTTTGTATTCATCATCTAATTTGGTCGCCGTTACAAGATCCGCGACAAGAGTTTTGGGTATGATTTACAAAAAAAATAAGTTTACATATAAGTATGATTATTTCAAATGAAGGTTCGTCAACTTTAAATAAGAACATTCACAAGTTTCTACAACAACTTTTTAATATATTTTTCAGCTGTTGTATCGAAACATTGATCTTGTAGAGAGAAAATTAAATACTCAAAGCCCAGGTGGAAGTATTATATTAAAATGCAAAGATTTCCGGATCCTGCAGCTGGATATTAATTCGGCAGATGATTTAATGAACGTTGCTTTGTCTATAGAAAAATTAACCACTCAAGGTGAAAGATTGCCTTTTACATAATATGAAATATAGCATTTTATTATAGATTATCAACTTTTACTTCTGTTTTATTCCAGAACAAACTTTGCAATATCCTTTCGTTTATAGACTAAAAACTACCAGCAATATTAATGTACAAATAGAGGATGAATGGACTGCATTTGCCCCCGTTTCGGAGTGGTCCAAATTATTAACTGCTCATGCAGACGAATGGCGTATTAGTTATTTAAATAAAGAATACAAAGTTTGCAATTCTTATCCTTCCGCAGTTATAGTACCACGTCATGTAGAAGACAAAATTATAATAGCTTCTGCTAATTTTAGAGAGGGTGGAAGATTTCCTGTTCTGTGTTACAGGCACGATGGCGGGGTATGATATGAAGAAAGATAACAAAGTAATAAACAAAAGCAAATGCGTAACATATATTTAATAAAGTATTATTCAATATTGCAGAGTGTTTTATTAAGAAGTAGCCAACCAATGTGTGGTATTACTAGCAAAAGATGCAAAGAAGATGAGAGACTTTTAAATGCAGTATTAGGTCCAGGAAGACGTGGGTAAATACAAAAATTTTAAAAGCCATGTAGTAACGTGTTTAGAGATTTCAAAATAAGAATCCATTTATCAATGTTGATGAATTGGAGTCGTGATTTTATTGAGATAATAGAAAGACTATTATCAGGATTAACCTATTACTAATATGTTTTTTCAATAGTTATATAGTAGATACAAGGTCTATTAGTCAAGCTCAAAGTTCTAGAGCCAAAGGAGGTGGTACAGAAATTGATGCTGCTTATCCTCAATGGCAAAAAGTGCACAAAGCAGTACCACGTCCACATGATTTAGCAGATAGTTTTTATAAATTGATAGAAGCTTGTAACGATGTGACATGTTCTACATCCCAGTGGCTCTCAAGACTTGATAATAGTGGATGGTTGTCTGCTGTACAAAGTGCTTTAAATGCTGCTTGTGTAACTGCTCAATGTCTTCATCAAGCAATAGCAGCTGTATTAGTTCATGGTATGCAATCTACAAAAATTAATTGTAATTATTGTAATAGCTTTCATAATAATACTTGTTATATTTTAAATAGGAACTGCTGGTAGAGATTCTACTTTAGTGGTAACTAGTTTAGCTCAAACAATATTGAATCCTGACTGCAGAACAGTGCGCGGTCTTCAGGCTTTAATTGAACGTGAATGGATACAAGCAGGCCATCAATTTTTCAACCGTACACGCCATGGACCGTACCACCTAGCAAATTCCTCAAATTCAACCCATGCACCAGTGTTCCTTCTTTTTTTAGATTGTCTTTACCAGCTACATTATCAGTTCCAATACAGCTTCGAATTTACAGTAGAATTATTAAGTGAACTATATAACAATGCATATAGTTCTGACTATGGAACGTTCTTAGGTATGCATATATCAACGCATAAATATTCTCATTTTTATGTTTCAATAACCAGCCTTTTTTTTTTATTGATACTTTAGGTAATTCAGAAGCAGAAAGAGTGAGCCTCCGATTATCAGAACATACTTATAGTTTATGGTCATATATCAATCAACCAGAAGTACTAGAAAAATGGCTAAATCCTTTGTATGAGCCAAATCCTGGTGTTATTTGGCCTAGTGTTGCGCCAGTTAGTATTCAATTATGGAAAGAACTTTATCTTTCTTGCACATATATTGCACCATGGAAAGGTTTACTGTCTTGCATAAAGCAAATAAAACAGAATCATGTGGCAGTACGAAAAGTCGCTGGTCAATTGCGGGTTCAAATCAATCAAGCAATAGAAGAAATACGTTTAGGAACCGATGCAACTTGTGAAGTAGAAACTCAAGATGAACATGCTTGTATAGAACAATTAACTCTAGACTCTCAAAATACCTGATACTTAGATCGTATATATTAAAGAAAGGTACATTTGTGTTATAAACTGCATCAGCTTGCCTTTATTACAATACAAAATTAGTGTACCGAAACTGATATTTTCACACAGTTTGTTACAAATTTAAACGATTTCATTTGCATTTTACATTTTTCACAATCCTTTAAACATTTTTATGATAATACTATGTAAATACATACATATATATATATAAATGTAAATACATATCTATATATACCATGCACCATTACATATACCATTGTCATTTATACTTGTATCATGTAAAGAAAGACATATACTTGTTCTGTCCTAGCTATTGTAAGTAGCTAATGTATTGATACACATCTTACATTTGCGACATCACTTATATGTACAGCAATTTTTTGCAACAAAAGATTAAAAGAAAAGAACAAATAAAAGATCCAATTGCTTTAATGTATACAGAAATTGCATAGTTTTATGTTCATCTAGAAAATAGGTTAATCGTATATCCAAATGATTTTACTGGAGAACAATACTTTTTAATTGTTGTAATTAACAATTGTTATCTGTAATGAAAGGAGGCAGATAAGTGGGGGAGGTGGCGAGGCAGGTGTTTCTTCAGATACAAAAAGACTGAAACGAATTTAGCAGCCATTGGCTGAGAAAATGTATATGTACGTACATCTAAAAATTAGTATAAAATGCTATAAATTCCTATAATTCAGACTAAAAAAAATATGAGATTATTAAAATAAATTTGATATAAACGTAGTTATATACTATCAATGTTAACCGTAAAAAGATTCTAAAATTTTGTTATCCTGCGTGTATTTCTAATTGTTTTTAGTAATTATTATTTACCTTTATCAATCCCGGTAACATATTTACGTCGAAAGGCAGACTTCTTGTAAATTTAAGCCTATTTTCTACGAATTCGAAGAATTTGATTTTGAGTGTCGGTTTCCCTGGATGAGTGTAGATCTAGTCACGAATAGAATTAATAGAACGTGGACTAAATTCAAACCCATCCGGGGCCACTGACCGAATCAGTTTCTTATCCTTTAACTGATGAAGTATGAATTACAAATTATCAAGAAAAATATACTCGGATTAAAGTAAAATAAGAAAATTACAAACTTAGCTACGGACGCTCTCACAAGGTAAAATGTAGCGGAATGATGTTCTTGAAAATGGAATTGCAGAAGCGCGGGTAGGGGAATCGGGATAAAGGATAGGATTGGTATAGGTATAGGTACACTCCCTACCCTTCCTATGGGCTAGACTCCATAGCGACGAGATAAGGGTAGAGGACACAGTTACCGACAAAATAAAGCAGTGTATAACAGTGTCATATAGTTGTATAAAGAATATCATAAAAATGTATACAATTGAATCAGCTTTTGTGTCATGCAGTATTTTAAATCATTATGTAAGTATTTCAATAAAATTTCAATTAATCTGAGTATTTACGTACGATTTTTTAAGAAACTTACCAAGAAACTGTACTATTTATTTTTTATTTGGAATAAGAATGAAGTTATATATGTATAGAATTTTATGTATGTAGTGGTGTTAAGCGTGTCACGTGATTGAGTCTTCATTGGTCATTTCGTATGCATATGGATCATATGTACACTTACACATTCATATACTTTAAGTTTACACGTAATAAAATAAAATCTCTAGAATCTGTTTATCTCTGCACACCGCACGAAGTGAAAGAAACACGAAATAGATAACATATTTATTTATCTGATTATTATTATTGCATCACTGTGTGATTTATAAAAACGATATGCATAGACTTTATTTTTTACATTTTTTAAATATGATTCTTAGAATAAATAAGTCAAATTTTATTATTAACAGCGAATGTTTTATGTATTTTAAATTTCCCTTTTACTCTTGTTGGTACTACTGTAGGGAATTGCATTACATTACATACATATGTATATACATATGTTAGTTATAACGTTATCATAACTAAGTTCGCGCGGTCGCCAACACTATATATGTATGTATATCTGTACTGCTGTGCTTACAGTAAGCGCTACAAACTTCTGTACTTATGAAAAAGGTGCTTTTCTGCGTGTGCAATGTTTGTTTCGAGGAACATCAATGAAACAGAAGTGTTTTGACAATGCTATATATATATATTTAAGTAAAATACTAATGGTTTTACGGTGTAACATTTTTTTAAAGGTACGCATACTTTTCTCACGGTATTTAGAGAAAACGCATTAATTTAAAATACAGCGAACTATCATCATTTTTCACGTCGGAAACTTCTTCGTTATAACAGTAGCGTAATTCTCACAGCGTTGTCATCACCTGTATTGTTATGACATCGTTAACCAAATCATAATAAAATCGTGTAACCTCGAAATAGTTTGCAGCATTTTTAAATCATCTATCACAACACATATGCATGAAGAAATAAAATTACAGAAGTATTGTAATTTATTATAATTTGTTCTGTAAAAAAATTGATTTTCAGAGTATCAGTTATGAATACAACAATCAATTCTGTGGAAAGTGGCGGTGATAAACGTCTACCAGAAACATCTATGCAAAATGTTGCACAAAATTTAACTACAATGCAAAGTGTACAAAATGTACAAAGTGTTGTACAAAGTAATATACAAAATATTCAGTCAACGCAAACTATAGTGGGTTCAATTGGAACACCTAGCAATCATGTAGGTAAATCAATATCGATGGATACAAATCCGAAGTTACCTCTAATGAAACCTATGGTTCCATCTGGTACCTCATCGACTCCAGAAAGTAATAAAATAACAACAACGGTAAGGAAAGGTCTTACTGATCTGTATAATTATTAAATCATAACACAAAATATAATTGTTTGTTTGTTTGTTTGTAGCTTTGTTCTGTAGGATCCACGGTAAGAATAATATCTCCAAGCATGTTAAGTACAGTAGAGCGTCAAAGTCAACCACAAGCACCACAGCTATTACAGCAAACACAACAGGTAACAAGTATGCCTGCAACTTATCATGTACCAAGAGGACCAGCTGCAGTAGCTAATATATCTGCTCCGAGATCGACGGTAGCTACTCCTATTGTCAGAGCAAATACAGGGCAGACTGTTCCAACAACAAGGTCAGGGTAAGTATCCATTTATGTAATACATAAATTATTTGAGGAGTGTGTATGTATTACAAAATCTATCATTAAGATTTAACAAACTGTCAATTGATTATAATACATATTTATTGTACAACTAGCTGTAGTTTAATAATGTATTTTATTTGTTACATCTTTTAGAATCAATACAACTATTTCAAATCCTCAATGGCAACCTAAAACAACATCTGTTGTATATGCTCAACCTCAGAGGCATCCTACACCTCCAGTGGGTCGAGTTTCTAGACCACCGTCCACTGTGTACTCCAGTCAGCAGCCTCGTTCGATTACTCCAACAGGTCAAGGAAGGTCTGTACAAGCCACAATGGTAACTGGAGTTCCTAGTACTCCCTCCAGATTGATAGCACCTGTCCTTCAAACAAATAATAGTATTACAAGACTGCCAGTCTCACAGAGTAGGTTACCTACACCTCAAGCGACGAATGTATCACAGACTACGCAATCTGGCAGATCTACTGCTCAAACTATTCAAGTAAATTATTATACTTGTTAACAATTAAGATTACCGAGTGATATTTCTCTATAATTAGATAAATTCTATGTTAAAATTGTAGCCCAATCAATCAAATAGATCTCTAAATACTCCTGGTACAGTTAATCGCATAGCTGTGTCAACGCCTATGGTTGGAACTGCAAGTAGAATAAGTGGTACAGCTTCGGTAGCTGTTCAACCAACAGTAGCACGACAGTTATCGATTAACACAGTGGCCGGTCCATCAGCTGCCACTGTAAGTCGAATTGTCATTCCATCGCAGCAAGTAAGTATTAAAAAGTGAGGCTGATCTCAAATACATTTATTGACTACTGAATAAAATAAATTTTATTATAGGTGCAACAACAACAACAACAACCACCACAACAACCGCAATCACAACAACAAGCAACTCCTCGTGTAGTTCAAACAGTAACATCTTTATCAAATATCAATACAGTATCACGCGTGATTACTACAGCAGCAAGTACATCAAATGTTACGAGAATATCACAACCAACACCCACTACAGTTGCTCGAATAACTGGGATGTCCCTACATCCTTTATCTCTAGCACCTGCAAGAGCTACCTCTGCACCTGTTAAAACAGTGCAGGCGCAAAATATCGGACCCACCGTTCAGATCAAACCTTCTCAGCAATCTGGTCTACGAGTGTCTACAACTAGCAGTACAAATAATAATTCGAATACTATGCCCGCTCAACCAGCTCAAGGACAATATTTGCATCCACCACATACTACAACATATTATTCCTTTGAACCGACAGGTAATTTGTAATTGTTAGTTTTGTCTATACTTTTAAAATGAACTTATGTTTTAATAGACACATAATTATGTGTTACATAGGAGCATATTCTCAATATCGACAAACACCAGTAAGATTACTTGTTGAACAAGGGTACGATGAACCACATACCAAACCAAATGCATCTCCACGACCAAGTATACTTAGGAAAAGGGATCATGATAATTCACCCGTTAAAGGTATAATAAAATACACAAATACTCTGATATATAATGTTATCTATTTTCTTCTTGCTGTATTCATCATCTTGTTATTTTTATTTTTGAATTTATTTTATATGAACAAATGACTAGTTCCGTGCTTTTAGGTGTTGCAAAGAATTTGGTTCCTGTACTTACATCCTTACCACCTGTCACAACATCCAGTCCTCCTTGTTCACCAAGGGGAGATCAAGACGGCGGAGGCTGTCAAAGTTCAGGATCTACTACAGTTTCAGCGACATCGTCTCCAGGACTAGATGAAGAACCAGAACAATCTAGAATTACTTTGAATCCGACGGTAGAGATGTCTCCACGAAAGAAACCTCGAAAACAGCAACTTACCAGTGTAGAATTGACGGAATCAAGATGTACGGAAGAGGAAATGCAATTTATTACAGAAGAAAGGATGAAGAAAGAAGTTAAAGATGAACCGAAAGAGAAATCGTCTGATAAAAGACAGATTTCGAATACGCAACGCGACGTCATCAAATCTCCTACACAACAGACAACCGTTACAATAAGAACACGACCTACGCCTAGCTTATTAGGTTTGTAAGGGAAAATAGTGATACTGGTATGCATGACAAAAAATTATTATCCTTTTCACAGGACCATCTTGGAAGAATAGGTGGAGTAGTAGACTTCATCATTATAGGAGGCCAAGTGAAGTTCGACCCCGTGAAGAAAGACGACCAACAGTTGCAGAAATAGCACAACAGAAACATGTATTACAAAAGCTAAATGGTTGGAAAGTGTATCATCTTACAGCACAGATGGAAGATATTGCTGATCTTGAGAAACAAGTATGTCCATAATCTAATGTTACATACTTAGTCTTGCTCAGTGTTGATGATCGGTCATCATAATAATGAAACGGTAAATTATCATTGGTTGTATTCATATAGGTACACGAGAAATTGAAAACAACGTTAACGATGCTCGAATCACAGCAAAACGTCAGAAATAGGCAAGACGATGGACTCGAACGTGTAAATGAACTGATTAAAGGAAATATGCAACGTAGTAGCTTAATTAGTGAAGGGATGAATGAAGCGCGTACACAGCTTATTGCTATATTTCAACATAAAGGACCTATTACCGATATTTTACAACGATGCGGTAATAAACGGGCTCAAAAGAAACGAGACAAATGAGCCAGTAGTGCATTGAAATCAAATTAAAATGAATATGTTTCTAAGAAAACCTTGTGCAAATAAGGTTCGGAAAACAGAATTATTTTTATCTGTGTCACAGAATCTATATTATAGGAGTAAAATAAATGATTTTATAAGTCTATGACACGACTGTCGCTGAACATGTTTATACTTTACTATTATACAAATCTACGACTTTTTATTTTAATATAATACTTCTTCTATTTGTTGAAATGTCCTTTTACATTTTGTCGTGTTATATAAGTGTGTGTGAATGATGATGTATATGTATATACATATAGACCTTATACATGTATATACTTTTAAGTGTCTACCACATAATTGTTAAAAGATTCGTCAAGAAGAAAATTATAGAAACGCGTGAAAGTTTTAACATAAAAATGAAATAAACGAAAGTTAATATTCGTAATATGAAATGCAAAATATACGGTTTATACTATTTTATACATGCATACATATACTATATGACATGGTACCAGAAGAATATGTTATTACCATAGTAACACATATTCTAGAATCTTTACTCAACACCAATAAGTAGTCTTATTTAATGTTTAAACTTTCAGTCCACTAAACGTTTGTTAATAGTGTATTAATATGTGGTGGGGATACAGTCCTGCATTAGACATACAACTTGAAATTAATAAACGTGAAATTAATTGTATAGGTGAAGGTCTCGAAGTATTAATTGTAGGTGCTGGTGACGCGAGACATATTGTGAAGACATTAGCATCATGTTACTTACACGATGATTGTATTATTACGTATAATGTAATTGAACCAACGTTGGAACAAGTCTGTAGATCTATTCTTTTATTGAGTACTTGTTTAGATAAAAATCTAGGTATGTAAATAAGATTTTAGAACAATGAACTGTGATATTTCTTATTAAAGACATTTTTGGATATAAAAATTGAATACACTTAAGGGTTACAAGAAGCAACTCGGTATTACTTGGAAATATTTGGCAATACCCTTGTAAGACCAGCAACAGCCAAGTATTTGGGAAAGCTTTCGAATAGTTTGATAGATATACCAACAGGTACAATTGATTGTCCTTGGTTAAATTTGAATAAATTTAAATATAAGGATAAAGATCAAATAGAAGCAATTTTCAAGTAAGTTTAAACAAATTAAACTATTTATTTCTTTAACACATTGCAAGTTTTATCTTTCTCTTTTCTTTAATCATTTTTTATAAGATTCTGGGACCGTGCAACATGTGAAAATGTGCCTATCGTGGACTATTGGGATAAAAGAGTTAGAAAGTCATTAAAAACAAGATATGATTATCGCAACGGTGTTTTTGACTGGGATTACCATATGATTCTGAAGTTCCGTAATATTTCAAATTTAACTTTGCAGGAATATAGGTAAATTAAAACAAAATATTGTTATGTAAATATGTATCAGCATTCATGATTCATTAATTTTAAAACTAGATTTTGGAGAAACAATGGTATTGCATTTACTTGGTTAGAAGGTGAACCTGTTAGAAGCAATCCAACATTGTTAAGTAATATAATACCCCATGGACCTGGTTTCCTACATTATGCTTACTTAGGAGATATAACAAATGGTCCCTTTTTTACATGGATGTTGGAAAATACAAACCATAATCGGTAACATTCATTCTACATTTTGTTCTAAATGTTATTTAATTTTCATTCCCTATGTGTTAACATAAACATGAAATGAATAACTTAGTAAATATAGAGCAACTGATGTAGCTGAACTTGAAATAATGCGATGTATTCATGAAATAAAAACGAGAGAACCATTGTGTGAAGACGTCTTCGCGTCACACAGAGATCCCTCCATTTTAAATGGTACATTAGTAATTGATCCGCCAAACAATGAAATGGAGCAAGAATCATGGAAAAGAGAAAGAACTAAACATAAAAAGGATATCTCTTGGATAGACATTGAGAATCATAAGGTATTGTGTAACATAAAAAAAATTTAATAAATACAGTACACATATTCTTTAAAATTTATAAAATGTTTTTAGGTCATTTTTCATCCCATAACATCTATAGAGACATACAAATACAAAGCTGATTATGTCAATAAATTCGACTTTTTATGGATAGCACACAATATGATAAAACAGTTGCCTAATCTTACTCCAATGTTGAAAAGAGGGGCAATTATAATAATCGAACTACGGAAATATATGACAGAATACCGAGAGAATGATCTACATAATTTTATAAAGGAAGTGAAAAATAATGCAGAAACATGTGGATTGCGTGAAATTGTTAATATTGATATCAAAAAGCATTGTATTACTAAATTTTGTAAAACTTAGAGACTCATGAATTAGTAATAAAATTTCTATCCTTCCTCTCTCTCTCTCTTTCTCTCTCTCTCTCTCTTCTCTCTCTCTCTCTCTCTCTCTCTCTCTCTCTCTCTCTCTCTCTCTACTACATACANCAGTCCTGCATTAGACATACAACTTGAAATTAATAAACGTGAAATTAATTGTATAGGTGAAGGTCTCGAAGTATTAATTGTAGGTGCTGGTGACGCGAGACATATTGTGAAGACATTAGCATCATGTTACTTACACGATGATTGTATTATTACGTATAATGTAATTGAACCAACGTTGGAACAAGTCTGTAGATCTATTCTTTTATTGAGTACTTGTTTAGATAAAAATCTAGGTATGTAAATAAGATTTTAGAACAATGAACTGTGATATTTCTTATTAAAGACATTTTTGGATATAAAAATTGAATACACTTAAGGGTTACAAGAAGCAACTCGGTATTACTTGGAAATATTTGGCAATACCCTTGTAAGACCAGCAACAGCCAAGTATTTGGGAAAGCTTTCGAATAGTTTGATAGATATACCAACAGGTACAATTGATTGTCCTTGGTTAAATTTGAATAAATTTAAATATAAGGATAAAGATCAAATAGAAGCAATTTTCAAGTAAGTTTAAACAAATTAAACTATTTATTTCTTTAACACATTGCAAGTTTTATCTTTCTCTTTTCTTTAATCATTTTTTATAAGATTCTGGGACCGTGCAACATGTGAAAATGTGCCTATCGTGGACTATTGGGATAAAAGAGTTAGAAAGTCATTAAAAACAAGATATGATTATCGCAACGGTGTTTTTGACTGGGATTACCATATGATTCTGAAGTTCCGTAATATTTCAAATTTAACTTTGCAGGAATATAGGTAAATTAAAACAAAATATTGTTATGTAAATATGTATCAGCATTCATGATTCATTAATTTTAAAACTAGATTTTGGAGAAACAATGGTATTGCATTTACTTGGTTAGAAGGTGAACCTGTTAGAAGCAATCCAACATTGTTAAGTAATATAATACCCCATGGACCTGGTTTCCTACATTATGCTTACTTAGGAGATATAACAAATGGTCCCTTTTTTACATGGATGTTGGAAAATACAAACCATAATCGGTAACATTCATTCTACATTTTGTTCTAAATGTTATTTAATTTTCATTCCCTATGTGTTAACATAAACATGAAATGAATAACTTAGTAAATATAGAGCAACTGATGTAGCTGAACTTGAAATAATGCGATGTATTCATGAAATAAAAACGAGAGAACCATTGTGTGAAGACGTCTTCGCGTCACACAGAGATCCCTCCATTTTAAATGGTACATTAGTAATTGATCCGCCAAACAATGAAATGGAGCAAGAATCATGGAAAAGAGAAAGAACTAAACATAAAAAGGATATCTCTTGGATAGACATTGAGAATCATAAGGTATTGTGTAACATAAAAAAAATTTAATAAATACAGTACACATATTCTTTAAAATTTATAAAATGTTTTTAGGTCATTTTTCATCCCATAACATCTATAGAGACATACAAATACAAAGCTGATTATGTCAATAAATTCGACTTTTTATGGATAGCACACAATATGATAAAACAGTTGCCTAATCTTACTCCAATGTTGAAAAGAGGGGCAATTATAATAATCGAACTACGGAAATATATGACAGAATACCGAGAGAATGATCTACATAATTTTATAAAGGAAGTGAAAAATAATGCAGAAACATGTGGATTGCGTGAAATTGTTAATATTGATATCAAAAAGCATTGTATTACTAAATTTTGTAAAACTTAGAGACTCATGAATTAGTAATAAAATTTCTATCCTTCCTCTCTCTCTCTCTTTCTCTCTCTCTCTCTCTTCTCTCTC